GTGGGGTGTCCTTCATCAGGAGCAGCAGAAAGTGGCGCATCTGCTGCTGCTGCTGCTGCTGCTGCTGGTGCTGCTGCTGCTGCTGGAGCAGCAGGACCCCACACGATCCCCAGCTGTCTCCTTGTCTCCGCTCCTGTCTCTGTCTCCTTTTCTCTTCAGCTGTCTCCGCAGTTCAAGCGCTGCTGTCCCCCCCGCAAGCCAGAGGAGCTCAGCAGCATCGATGTTGCTGCGTTCTGCGAGGCTCGTGCTGCAGCAACGTTGGTGCTGCTGCAGCAGCAGCAGCAGCTGCTGCAGCAGCAGCAGCAGCAACTGCTGCAGCAGCACCAGCAGCAGCAGCAGCAGGAGCAGCAGCAGCAGCAGCATGTAAAAGACAACATACAACCCCTCAGTCTCCCGTGGGGTGTATGGGCACATATAGAGAGACCCCTCATCTCTGTTTTAGCTGCAATAGAGAGAAGGGGACTGTCTCTTTCTCTGTCTCTTCTTTCTACCGGCTGGAAAACAAAACCCGGGATCGGATCCCACCCCCCACCAGAGGAGACAGATGCAACAGAGGAGACAGAAGAGACACAGGAGACACAGGAGACAGCAGCAGCAGCAGCAGCAGCAGCAGCAGCAGCAGCAGCAGACAGTGGGCCACCGGGGGGGTTGCCTGTCGAGGGTAAGGAGCTGCAAGCAGCGAACGTGGAGCGCGACGGTGTTGCTGCTGGCGCAGCTGCTAGTGCTGCTGCTGCAGCAGCAGCAGCAGCAGCAGCAGCAGCAGCAGCAGCAGCAGCAGCAGGAGACCCCAGCGAGGCTCTGCAGGAACAGAGACAGCTAGAGAGACGAATCAGGCGGCTTATAGAAGAGCTCACGGGGCAGAGAGATGTAAACATCAACTCTCCTAGGTGCGGAGACACATAAAAAAAAATTAAAAAAAAATATAAAGTGTCTCCTTTTTTTAAACACCAACTGTCTCCTTTTGCAGGGATCTAGCAGCAGCAGCAACTGCAGCAGAAACTGCAGCAGCAGCAGCAGCAGCAACGACAGCAGCAGAAACTGCAGCAGATACCGCAGCATGAACTGCAGCAGAAACTACAGCAGAAACTGCAGCAGCAACTAGAGCAGCTGCAGCAGCTGCTGCAGCAGCAGCTGCAGCACCAACTGCAACAGCAGCAGCAGCAGCAGCAGCAGCAGCCGCAGCAAATTGTTTGCTGCAGTGTATTGTTTGTGTGTTTGTTGCAGCCAGCTGGCAGCAGTTCTCTTCGATGCGCTTCAGCTGTCTCCTCCCCCCGCAGCATTTTCTGACGGCAAGGCTGTGAGCAGCAGCAGCAGGGGTAAACGCAGCAGCAGCAGCAGCAGCAGCAGCAGCAGCAGCAGCAGCAGCAGCAGCAACGGCAGCAGCAGCAGCAGCTGCAGGTCCACTGGTGCTGAAGCCTTGCAGGCGCTGCTGCGTGAGGCTCGCTCTAAGGAGACAGATCCCCGCGCCCGTAGAGTAGCAGCGTAAGTGTGCTGCTGCTGCTGCTGTTGCTGCTGCTGCTGCTGCTGCAGGTTGTTGTCCCGTTTGTTGTTTATAATTAATATTTTATTTTTATTTTTATTGTTCTTTTCTGCTCTTTACTCTTGTTGCTGCTGCGGGGTATAAGGGTTTAGGGTTTAGGGTTTAGGGGTTTGGGTACTGCAATACCGCTGCTGCAGCAGATATGCAGCAGGCCAGAGCTGCTGCTGCTGCTGCTGCTGCTGCTGTATCTCTGCTGCAGCAATGCTACTCCACTGCTGCTGCTGCTTCTGTGGTGTCTGAGGACATCTTTAATGCCGTTTTGTGTATGCTGTTGCTGCTGCTGCTGCTGCTGCCGCTGCTGCGGCCGCTTCTCCCGTTTCTGCTGCTGCTGCTGCTGCTGCTGCTGCTGCTGCTGATGCTGCTGCTGCTGCTGCTGCAGGTTGCTGTCTTGTTTA